TCCGCCTCCTAGGGCATGTCCTTAACATACAGCAAAGGAGAAAAAAAAAAAAAAAAGCCTGACAGCTTTTCTTATCTTCAATTTGGAATATTAAACATAAGCTTCAAACCCATACGAACAATTCTCGTGTGATAAATCCCAAACTCCTAGCACTGAAATTAATAGACTGACACCAATTAAAATCCTGTAAGAATGGACCCAGTTATCAAGTTCTTACTTTTAAGGTACTTCAGAGCTTCTTCATTACAGAGATTTCCCCTAGGAGAGGTCACTGCTTAAGTTGCCACAGCATCATACTGACCGCTTGAAAGTAATTCACTGAAACTAGGAAAGAGGAAAGAAAAAAAAATACAGAACATGGTATGTTATACCAACACTAAATAAATACACATATACATACATAAAATGTTGGCTGATGGTATAGCAATCTAGTCAAGAAGCCCAAACACTGAGAATACACAGCTTTAAAATAGAAATATTTAAAGGTAGTATATCTTCATCGCACCATTTTCTAGTACAAAGCGGCAATTTTGTTTCCACACATCCAGATACATCTCTTCTGCCTCACTCCCTAGTGCTTCTGACAGCATCTGTAATGAAAACTTTGAGAAACCTAGGAGGGAGTTATCTGCAGGCAACTGGAAAGAGAAGTAAACCATATTTTAATATATGTCTTGTAAAAGATTGTGATTTGGGAAGGACTAATCTAATTAAGCAATGTCCAGAAACAGGAAAGAGTTATTTCTGTGTAACAGTTGTGTACAGCAGGCTGTATGAGTTGATTAACTATTTCCTATTTTTAATATCAAGGGATTATATTAGCAATGAGATCCAGGCACCTAGAAGTAGACAGTTGCATTACTGGGATTTTCAAAACCATCTAACCTCCAATTTCCTCCAGGCATCTGGACACTTCTGAAAAACCCTGAAGTTGTACATTTTCATCTGTACACACAGACATATATTTAAGCTTAGCTTGTCAGTTTTCACAACACAGGGAACAGCCGGTCTCTTCAATTTCAGTCCCTTTAGAAAAAGGGCCAAAGAAGAACCTCTGAAAATGAATAAACAATTGGCTTAGTATGCATGGCCAGAATGCCAGCACTTTTCAAGGTCAAAAAAATAATGTGCCCCGGAAGGGCTGCATTCAATATGATGTATTAACTATGATATTGCAAACTGTTAAGGCAGAGCACAATAACCATATTCTTTTTACCTTTCAAAATATTCAGGTGAATCTTCATCCATTTTGCTAGGGACATCAAGAGCCGAAATATAAACCATGGCATTGAAGGATAACCACTTTACTATCTCAATAAGCAAATCAGAGTTAAAAGTGTTAAAGCACTGAAAAATAAAAAAAAACCAAAAACAAAAACCAACAAAACAAACAACTATGAACTTTATCAACTGATACATTTATATGAAAACATATTTTTTAAACTGAGAATATTTTGTTTTTAAAGAACTGAAGCAATCTCCTTAAGCAGATGATTGTTTAGGGAACACCTTTTACAGCATCAGTTAAACTCTCTTTTCCCACCAGTGCCCTCAAAAGCTACCAGACAGGAATAAAAGACACCATCTTAAAGACCAAGCTCAGTCTGCTATTGCTGATTGTCTAGTCTCATGCTCTCATTCTCAATTGCTCTGACATTTCATTTTTAATGACTTTACCTTTCTCATCTTTTTTATTTTTCATGATCCGAGAGATCTTGCAGGGTGACAACCTTGTCCGATTCTGCCCAGGCAGAAATAGCATTTGCAACTAACAAAATCCTAGCATGTCTGTGAATATTTAAGAGGGAAAGACATATGTGATCAGCACAGTTACCCAAATCAAGAAATCGTCATCATAGTATCAACAGTATGTATGTTAATAATCGACCAGTGCACGGAACCTCAATCCGTAAGACAAAAAAGAAAGTCTATGTGGCATAGGGAACACATCTAAATTAAAAATATTTGCAGATATGGATGTGAACCTGAGCTTCAGCTTTTCTGTCTTTGCTTCAGCTGTTTCTCGGAAGGCCAGTAAATACGGGAGTTCTTGTTCTAACACAGTCCTTTTCTGCCGAGGGATATACTTTTTTCCCCCCTTTCTTTTTTTCAGTCCCAGCACCCGTCAGTCTAACTGAGCGAGATGTTTAGGAGGAGGATCCAAGTTGAGTGACTTTTCTATACTCAGGCCTGTGGGAGAAGAAAATGCCTTTCATGGGCTCCCAACTGCAGGCAGGAAAGCCGGCCGGTAACAGTAATGCAGGCTGCACCTCCCTCGTGGGCAGCTGCCCACACAGCAAAGCCCTTCCAAATACATTTTTCTTCAAGTCTACACCTCCCTTTTCCTACTGGGTCACTGCTGTTCTGCATCCCAGCAAACGGAACTGCATTTTGCTGATATGTTGCACTATTCTGGGTGGCTTAGTTTTAGAGGTTTTGTTTTGGCTTTGGCTTTATATAATTATTTAAAAAAAATATTTAATCTAGAAGAAACTCTCAAACCAGCAGAATACTGGATTTACCTGGGATGGGCTGAAGAGGATGTGCTGTTTTCTCTCAGGTGCCAAAGGTTTCCGAGGCTACCTTTCTTACGCTGTAAGTGTCCGAGATTACATTTTTAATTTTTGCAGAATTCTTCTAAATAGCTTTTATTCTAGAGGGGAAAAAAAACCAAACCACCAACACCAACAAAAAGAAACATAAAACAGCAGCTGTTACCTTGTTCTTTTCAAGCATCAGGTTGCAAGGATATCAGTACCAAAAGCTGTTGAACCAGGCTTGCTGTCATACTGTTCTGTTGTTCTCAGCAAAGCCTGGCCCCCCAGTTTGCCGTATTAATTCTATTTCAGACTGCATATAGCAAGATAACTGGCTCTATGGAGAATCCTACTATGTACATGCAGCTACATGATGATACTTCCTCAGTATAAGACAATAAATGAAAAGAAGTGCACAATTCACTCACTTTTCCGTATTTCTTGACATCAGAGCATTTTAGCAATGCAATAGCCTCCTTTTGAGGCTATACTGTTTTTATAGGCGGAGAGAATCCGAGTGTGTTTAACTTCCAAGGCTGATCCTCCAGTTATTCTGCAAGCAAAGCCTTTGCCAATTACACCTCAGGTTTGACTGCAGAAGAATCAGCACCAGGGTGCGAAGAGCAGAAATCTAACACCAGATTAGCAAGGTTTTACACGATCGTTGGCAGCTTCCATACAAAAATATAACAAGAATTGAAACATTTAAAAAAATACGAATGAGAGAAGCCAGTTACGACTAAATTATTCCTGTCCTAATTAAAATAACATATTTTTCTCTAAACATTATTAGAGATAACTCAGTTGTCTTCAAGCTCCATTGCTCTTTTCTTATGGTATAATACAGTCGTGGACTCAGATTCCAGAACTTTTAATCTCCTGTGAAGAAAAAAATGCATTCCTTTGGCCATTCTTTATTCTGGCAATAAAAGCCTCATATTCCTGTTTGACTGAAGTCAGGATATTCTTTTATGCAGTAACCTATGTTATTATCTGTGAATAGTTTTTTGGACACAATATTTATCTGGAAAGAATGAACAGAAAAACAATTTTATGGAACTTTTTAATAAGCATGATAGGTTTAAAATAAAATTTATAGACAAAATAATACTCCTTAGAGCAAGCTTCATAGCGCTACTCTGATACAATAAAAACCAGCCCCAAAAGCAAGTAACGTTGTTGAAGATGATGAAAATACAGAAATACTTTACATTGTGAAAGACAGCCTCTAAACTTACCTCAGATTCAATAATCACAAATGTTATTAAGAACTAAGGCAATCAGCATTCATTTGGACAGCTGCAGCAACCATTTCCATGTAATAAAAGCTATTTTCTCCAGATGGGCACTTAAACATCCTTAGTGCTTACAGGTGTGGAAAACCAAAGGAGCAGGGGCTGTCCATGTCAATGTCTTAAAAGAGCAGTCCAACTCAAGATCTGGGCACTTAAACATCCTTAGTGCTTACAGGTGTAGAAAACCAAAGGAGCAGAGCAGTCCAACTCAAGATTTAAAAGCAGACAGAGTAACCCTCATTCCCATCCACCTCGAAAACTAAGAATCTTTATTTATTCTTGGCATCTCCCATCTCAGGGTCTGAACAAGGCAGACACAATCAGGCAGGAGTCCTCCAGGAACTTCAGCTATAACCTTTTGGCCCAACGGAAGAGCCGTTAATGCTAATACAGGGTACACAGGGTATATGTCACGGGTCTTTTTAGTTAAGTAGATTTTCTCCTGTTTTAGGAAAGCTTTATAATGCTTTATCATTTCAAAAGTACCATAAAGTTAAGAAAAGCGGTTATCAAGCATGAACCCTACTGGAACTTCTGGCAGTAGGAATTCACTGTAGCGGTGTCTATTCGACTGCAGTATATACAGGGGCACAAAACCCACTGAAAACACACCAATCCTCGATTTCTGCAGCTACACCACCAGATCACAATCGGTCTGCTTATACCCTTTTCCCCCAGAAGACAAAGAAGCAGCAAGCCACTTTTTACTTATCTTTGTTGCTCATTTACCTGAAAAATATATTACCTTGTCAAATGCATTACTGTATATAATAGAACACTCCTCAGATGGTCCTTGCTCAGCACAACCCACCTTCTCAGTGTTATATATGTCCATCTGATTCGTATCACATCAGTTTCTGTCAATATATTATGTTCGTACGCTCTCCGGAGATCTCCGGTCCTTCTCAAAAAGGGCGGGAGGGAAGACAGAACATTTCTCCACTCCCATGCGATGGTTCGGCATAGCAGCCTAGCGCCTTTCTTACACAAAGTCTAAACCTCTTTCCTCCTTTGTTCAACAACTGCCTCAGATCCAAACCTGGAAGAAGAGTTGAAATTGTTAAAATAGCATCAGCTGATACTCATGTATTCGAGCAAGCCTTTGTTCTGCTTTAACCCTTTCCATGTTCAATTCATAAGCATAAAACCACCTCACAAGTCATTTGGAATGAACGTGACTCCCAGTGCTCCTCTATTCCTAGTTTACACCCGTGGCTTTTCTCATTCTAAAAATATTCGCCCTACAAACCCAGATGAATTTGGCATTGATGTTGGGGAACCTGCAGGCGGCAAGGCGCCTGAGGGGTGCTTTTAAACCGCCTCCACAGGGCTAGGCCGGGGCGAGGACACCGATTTCTGGGGTTTCACGCTGCAGCACAGACCTGTGAAGACACAGCTCCCTGAAAAACCCGCGATCCCCCCCCCAAAACCGGCAGCTCCAG